TGATATACTACTGTACAAACTCTCCAGTGTGCATAGATTTAATGGCTAAGATATAATGCCATAGCTCCACTGACTGAATACTTAATGTACAATAGGTTCTGTTAACACTGTTTGAATTTTCTAATCTTGATTATTAATTAAAATAACAGCATTTGGAGACAGGCAATATTGTTCTTTCTTATTTCATAAAACGAACTCCTGCTCAAAGGGGATGATGTTTTACACTCTTTCCTTCTCCTCTGCACTGTGGTTTTAGAGAAGAGAAAAAGCTTTAAGTGTGATCTGTGCATTTCACATTGTGCTATAAGACTTTTTCAATGTGAATTTTTAAACTCTTCATGAATATATATTGGTGACATAATAGTCTACTAAGGTAATATAACACTATTTATTCAAAGATTTCTCTATTGTTGAACATTTAGGATAGTTCTATTTTTCCTACTTAAGTCACATTGCAGAAATTCTCAGTGTATATTCCCCCACCCCTCTACATTTTGGATTTCTTTTCTAGAACAGAAACTTAGATTGCTAGATCATGGACACATTTTCTGAGAAGGTAGTGCCATACATCTTTTGTTTTACTATGAGGATACAAGTTACTAGTCTATCTATTTATCATCCAGTATGCTCACCCGAAGTTCCCAAATGCTGCCCATTGTACTGTAAGTGAAGTTGAGTGTGTAGCACTCACTTGTTCGAGAGAGGCCATGTTTAAAAGGTTGGTCACACAGGGTGTGCCTGGAATGATTGAACCTCTTTCACTAACTACATGCACTAGAAGTGCTTCCTAGTTGCTACATGGTCAAGTAACATTTTAAAGTTCTTGGGCTGGGAAGGTGGCTCAGTGGTAGAGTGCTTGCCTTGCATGCATGAGGCCCTGGGTTCAGTTCCTCAGCACCACATAAGCAAAAAGAAAAAAGCTGGAAGTGGCGCTGTGGCTCAAGTGGTAGAGCACTCGCCTTGAGCTGGAGAGCTGAGGGACAGCTTCCAGGCCTCACGACCGGACGCCCCCCCAAAAAAAATTAAAGTTCTTGGAAAATACTCTGGGGCAGCAGGGGTAGGGCGGGAGGGACGGTGGATGGGGAGAAGGAAGGTGGGAAAATGACGTTCATCATCTCAAAATAGCCTTGACTGCATGCTTTGTTTCTTCCTTGTCAGCGTGTCAGATTAAATGGCTTTTGATTGTTGTTTTAATGGTATTTCCTGAAGTACTAATGAGGTTGAACCTTTTTCCCTATGTTCATTAATGAGTTGGATCTTTCTTGTGACACATCCTTTTGCTATTTCTCACTTTGTATTTGTATAAAATAGGTTTTAGTGTATTGTCTTTGTCACCAATAATATAATTTACTTTTATTTTAATCTGTGGAAGTTTCTTCCCAACATAATTCTAACTACTAGATATTTTCTTTGTAAAAGTATATGTCAGATGAACACTTGACATTTCCAAAAAGTACATGAATAATGAATTTCATTTACCTTCATTTTTAAGTTGTATTTTATTTGCATTGGCTTCCATAATGCATCTCGAGTTTCTATTTATGTCAAATAGGAATGCTTGATTTTATTTCCAAACGCTAGGCCATTATCTAATGATGCTTAAACAATTTTTTTCTGTTTCATTCAATTTTTGTTTTGATTTTATTAGACATTGAATTTTCTAAGCTTTTATGGAGTCCTGTGTGCATTTATTTCAATTCAAGCATAATGAAAATAGCTGTTAAGTTTTCCCAGCAAACTTAACAGGAGGGGCAGAAATCATGTTGTCCTTTAAATAACATGCACTTGGCACATGACAGGTATTACATATTTGTTGAGTGAAGGAATGCATAAAAAGTGATATTGCTGCTGGAATAACCATTTTTACATTAATTTATGCATCAATTTCAAAACCATTTTGGCACTGTGTTAAATGTTGTGTCACAATAATATATTTTACCATTAGAGCAAAACTTTTTATTAGTATTCAGGCTCAGAATGTTCTTTATGACCCACAGCTCATTCTTCAAAGAACTTCAGGAAATTTTAATAGACTCTAAAATTACTCTCATTAGAATTTTTACTTGAAATAAGTTAATAAATTAATTTGGGGAAGAACTGATATTTTTATTGTAAATATGTTCTCACTCATGCATTATATATCTATACTATGTATATCTATCTATCTATCTCTATATATATATCTTTATTTCTCTTTACAGCTTTTTATAGTTTTCTTTACAGATTTAGTCACAAGTATTTTATTGATTTTGTTATAACTGCAGTTGTGATTCAGGTTATTATTGCTGCTCCTGGGATTCATATTCATTTCCCTTAAAAAAAACTTTCTTTTTATTGCTATTGTACAGAGAAATTATTGTTACAAATTTACCCTGCATCCTGGGACTTTGCTTGAATTATTTCATTAATTCTAATAGAAAAAATATTTATAGCTTTTTTTCCCCCATTGCACTGGAGACCATCTGGGCTGAGCATTGTAGCATTGGTAGCACTGTTACTTTGACTTTAAAGGGATGAGAATCACTCAACAGAAAGGAGATTCTGTTGCATTTTTGCATCTCTTTTAGAGACAAATCAATAGCTGCTACTAATGACAGGCAAGCAGCTGGCCAGGCCTTTATCTACATGCTGGGCCTTTGGGGAACACATGTGTTGGTCTTTCAGAAGCCATGAGGAATTTTGTATTGCTCAAGTCCTTGCCCAGGGGACATCCTCTCTCCCTGAGCACTCCTCAACTCCACCCTTCTCAGTCCAGCTCTGGGCATCACATTCCCACCTCCCCTTAAAGAGGTTGCCGTGAGTCAGCAGAAGACACCTGGAGCTGGCTGCCTTCCTGCCTTCCCCCGGCTCAGTGTGTGACATGGGCTGTCAGCTGTTCATGTCTGTGCAGCCTACAGAAGAGGAGTGGATGAATGTGATGCCCCTTTTGGGATGGCAAAGGGAACAGGTACAGGGACCAAAGAACGCACCACCACCCACGACATCGTGTAGAATCTCAAGAGGTCCCTTTTCTCTTTTCTTTGTTGCACGTGAAAATGCTAATCATAGATAATGACGATCAGTTCTGTCTAGTCTGACATCCTGAGGTTGTTTAAAATGCAGTTGTGTTCTGTTTTGAAAAGAAAGCTTTGGCATCCTAATGAATGAAAATACCCCATTGGATAATTTGATGCGAAGGCAATGACAAGTATTAAATGAGGCTCTTGTGTGTGTGAACTCTCTGGGATGTTTATCTAGGGGTCCTCACAATTCAGTAGCTTTGGGTAAATCTTGGCTCTTGCTACGTGGGGGGAGCTGGCAAGTGACAAATATCCCTGAAAGGGCGGGGCTTCCTATAGTACAGCGGGTCTCTCTGCATCATAAACCTGTGGGGTTTTTTTGACGTGCAGAGCTATTGTGTCTATTGATTGTGTTGATTCGGCACTGTAAGAGGGGGTGAACATTTTAAAGCTTAGTTTAAGGGCTTGTTTGGACACTGTGGCCTTTGTTTGGACTCTGTTGACCTCTGTCCATCCACGCTGGATTTATAAGGTAGCCTCATCCCCATCGCGGAAGTCAAGAGTAGATATGCAATCTGTTCTGGTGGCCAGGTCAGAATACCGGCACATGGCACCACGCTAAGCTTCAGGTGGGTTTGGAAAGGATAAGTGACAAATCGTGGTTTTGTTCCGGGGCTGGAACAACGCGGCTCTCTCAAATGCCTCATGGCCAGGCCTATGACTCCAGGCAGCTTCTGGAACGTCTACCTGAGTAACAGCTCCGCTGAGCTCATGTGTAACTTTGCTGGGAAACTGGTCAGTTGTGTCATGTCTCTATTATTAATGTGGCTGGGGGAAAGTCTGCTTTGAAAAAAGTACAGTGGTTCAAGGATAAGATTAACACTCTATACTTGTTTTGGCAGCTACGACGAAATCTTTGCAATTGAAGATAAATGTACAATTTGAAAGTTATCGTTCTTGCCAATAAAAATAAGGAAAAGGCCAGGTGGCATACTAAAATATACTTAACAAATGGCATGCAACAAATATTTTGACTTTAAAAAGACACTGCATGGAGAAAAAGTATCTCTGGGCCTGCTCGTTCTACTCAAATTCAAATGCTGACACAGAAACGAGCTGTGGGCTCCCTGCCAGATTCCCAGCCTACACAATGTACATAATGATAGCACACACCTCATTGAGTCACAGGTCCCCAAGATCATGCTCAGGCTCCGTGATTTGCTGGAATTATCTAGAGCCTCAGAAAATCTGAGTGATGAAAACCAGGCTTTCATTACAGGGAAAAGATACAGGTTAAGATCAGTGACAGGCGAGGGGCTCAGGAAGCAAGGTCCAGGGGAGCACACTCCCCGTGTTCCTCCAGTGGATTAGAGCCTTTGACCCAAACCCGTTTAGTAAGTAAGCAAGGAAGCTTGGCAAAGCTCCAGAAGTCGAAGGTGGGTGAGTCCTGCGGAGGAGGGACCTCAGCTTCCAGTATCCAGGGCCCCTCATCCTCAAGCAAAGACCATTGCTCATGTGAATCACCTCTTAGAATCAACTCATCTGTTCAGATGAAAACCTTGTAGGCTCCTAAGTACAAATCTCCTCCTGTTGCAGGGACTCAGAGCTTATCATCCAGAAACCAACCAAAGGCTCATCCTGCAAATGAACATTTCTTTGAAATGTGTAGGGCTTGAATAACGAAGACTTGATGGGGTAAACCCTTCCCGGCCCATAGTTAGGAGTAATAAATGAATCTGTCTTTCCGACTTAGAACAGCACCTGGCATAGAATTGGGCCTGTCACACACGAGCAGGAAATAAGACTCACCTATTATTGTGCTAGTGGAGTTCTACGAACAGATGAAACAGACTAATTGCGAATAGAAATGAGGAATAGCAGTGTTCTATGGATCTTTTGTAACTCCCTAAGTTTGCGCTGATGAGCATTCAAAGCAGATTACATAGAAAAATTTTCTGTGGAACACCAACTACTAACATTTTGTTCTTTGTCTTTTTTCAGAGTCCTGAAACCAGCAAAACAATCAGCAAAGAGCAGACCGATTGAAGAATACAGTAATCAGGTACAAGGGTCATTCCCAGCAATTGGCACACAACCTTTGTTTCAAGTAGTGACCAATTCAAATGTATAACTTATTCTATTAACAGTTTATATAAATGTCAGTTTGATGTCTTAGACTAGGTCTGACTGTATGCTAATAGGTAATGTAATTGTCTGTATCCTAAAGAGAAATTATTTTCTGTGTGTACATTAAACTAATTTATGATCTGTGTCAGGTCTGTGCAGAAATGTGAAGGAATTAGCAAAGTGTTAATATTCACTAAAGACCTACTACATGGAAAACTCTCATCCACAAAATGATTTCAAATAACAGAATTAAACAGGTTGATTCCTGCCTTCATGGTATCTGAAGTCCAATGGAGGAGCTATTTCATAAATCCCAATTCACATGTGACAATTGTGATGAATGCTATTAGTGAAAATGACAGAACTCTGTGAGATGATAGAATGAATGGGAGAGAAGAAAAGAATCTCCTGTGGGTAGAAGTTTCTCTGCAAGATGACTTTCAAACCAAGACCTAACATGGGAGAATAAAGACTCCCAGGAAGATTGTACAATGGTACAAAAATAATTGAACAAAATAATCAAAGAAGAAAAACTTGGGACAGGGCTAGCATGTCGAAGCCCAGCCACAGAGATGGGCAGGGAGACCGAGATGATGAAAATGAGAACTGGCTTGGTACCACAGGTCTCAATGTCCACAACAGGGCAGCTGGAGCCAGCCCTCACTGATGGCTTTTCACCGTTGGTAGTTCTGGATGATATCACACCATCTCTCTTTCCCCCTGAAAATAGTTTCAAATCTTACCACCTCTCCTAGCCCTACCCACTGAAAGGGTAATTTCTCTGCAGAATTCTCAAGGTGTTTTTTCCTTGGTTTTCTGCCTACATTGAGTTCAAGTAAATTTGAAAATTTTAGGAGACTTTCTCAGGAGATTAAATGCAAAATAACAAAACAAAGGTATGGGTATATGTGTGTGCATGTGTGTGTGTGTGTGTGTGTGTGTGTGTGTGTGTGTGTGCCTTTAACTTAGCATTTATTAAAGCTGTTTTCAGCATTATATTGTGAATAGTTTCAAAGATTTCCTCTTGTTGACATGGATTTTTAAAAGATTCCTCCTACTCACAAGACTGGCCTGCTTTCAGATAGCATAATCAATTTGATTTCTTTGCCCACTGAACTATTTTAGATAATTCCTACAAGCTAGAAAATTCAAGACAGGGTTAGGAATTGTTTGTCTCAGTGCTTTAGCAGATTATTGGGTTTTTTTTGCCAGAATTATATGGTTTATTGCTTCAGGTCCTGATTATATTTTGCATATGAAAATATAGCCTGAAGTACCAATGAAAACCTCTGGTGTAAGAGCTTGAAAATAAAATTTCATGTTATCATTATCAGTACTGGTTTGCTTAAGTCAAACAGTCAGAGGAAAACACAGAAATATTGTTTGAATCTCTGGTAATTTGACTTATTCCTTCCCATGGAAAATGCTTGTTCTTGATTTATGCAATTTTCTTAATTTAGTCTCATAGAGTCTCATATAAACTGCCTTACATTGAGGCAGAGGGCCTTGGAGTAATGTCTAGTTGAGAGCTTTGTGTTTTAATCCTGTATAAAATGTAGAGTTGGGCTTTTGTGCTTTGTTATGTTTTGTTTTTGCTTTAGTGCTAGTATTAGGCCTTAAACCCTGCCTTTCCATTTTTTAATTTTTTTTCTCAAAACTGGAGCTCCATCACTTGAACCATCCCTCCACTTCTGCTTTTTTACTCATTCATTGGAGAAAAGAAGCCCATTGTTTTTTCTGTGTTGACTGGCTTCAAACTGTAATCCTCAGATCTCAGCCTCCTGAGTAGCTAGGATAACAGTTGTGAGCCACCAGTGCCCAGCACAAAATGTGGAGATTTTCTACTTGTAATAGTCAAAGTGTCCAGAATCCAGAATGCAAGATTTGACTTTTACTGGAAGAAAATTTTCTTGCATAAATGCCTGAGAGGAGCTTTGTTAGATCAATTCAGCATCATTCCATTATTATTATTTAAAAAAGAAGCAGGAAATGACAAATAATTCCCCAGGATTTCAAAACTTAGGAACAAAAAGCCATGTCTCAGCTCCAGAAAGAGAAGAGACAGCTGCCTTCATAATTACTACTCCTGCCATTTGCTCTCTACTAAAGATGCATCTCAAACTTGGAATCTAATTAGAAATCTTAATTGAAATTGTCCCTTAAAAATGGGGAAAAAAGGATGGACATGGAAGCAGAAAAATAGGGAGAAAAACAGATATGGTAATCTTCCTCCAGACTGAATGATCACTCTGTGAAAATTAGTTCGCCGGTGGGAACCTGGGTGTCTGGCTGCACAGTTAACATCAACTTCCTCTTACAATAGGAATTTTCTCAGCCAGTTTTCTCTCTGGAGCACGTATATATCAACTCCTGAAACTTTTGACTGATCCACATTTTATGGAAGATTACAATGTTCTTGAAAGTACTAAATATTCCCACAGGTTATCTGATTCGCTTTCTCTCTCTCTTTTTTTTCTTTGAGCCTAAATCATAAGAATTATGTAAGACAATGATCTTAAAGTTTTGATGTCTGGATTAAATGTCAACGTCCTAAATGTTGCGTGATTCTGGACTCATTATCTGTACCCAGTCCCCATTTCTGTTTGTCCATCTCTAAAATGAGGTTTTAGTGTAGTCTTGTGAATTGCCCATGGTGCTCGAGTAAACGAGTCTAGGAAGCCAGAATCCATGCCTTGTTCTTAACTAACTTGCAACATCTTTCCCGTTTCATTAGTACAATAAGTGCTCTGTGAAAACATTCTGATATGTGCCGAAGGCCTACGTAGCCTAGAATAGCACTAAGAAGAGCCGAACAAAACCTTGTACAAAAGGATCAGAAGAGTTCACAATGAGGAAAGGAGTCAAGGGTTTTCTATCATAAAATGGCAGGATAGAGAAATGAGAAGGTACAGAAAGAGATGTATGGAACGGGCGTTAGGATGTTTGTACTCATTGAGGGTTGTACTCTGGCCTGGGCGGAGCATGTAAGAAGACCTTTCTGTTTACAGTGGTTCATACTGCATACCATAGGCTCTCAATAAATACGAATGAAGGAATTATGGTTGACATATTTCCTTTCTTTATGTTTTAAATAGAGGACCAACACTTGTAAAAGTTGGGACATTTCCACCAGAGGTCCAGAAGGTGGGAAAAGGGGTAGGCAAGCTGCCCTGCAGTGTCTTCGTCCATATGCAGGCACCAGTCATGCATAGACTTCCATACGAAGAATCTGAGCTCATGGTCCTCTGGTACCTCAGGGAGATATCCTTCCTATCTGATCACAGGTAGAGCTGTGTAATCGAGGGGTTGTTCTATCTTCCTATTATCTTCCTTATTTGAATGAGGCTCAGCAGAGAACTTCTGGGTGTTTTCAGGGCAAAGTTGTGCTCTAGAACTTTACTGTGCTTCCCGGGTCTCTCTGTGGCTCCTTCCTGTGTGTTCAGCAAGCGAATATTTCTTTCTTCTTATTCCACATCGTTTTCCTTCTCCTTATTCCTTGTCATTATTCTCGCTGCTCTGAAGTTTTTTTGAGGTAGACTGTGTGGTTTGCATGTATCAGAGAGCAAGGGAAGCTTGTTATGGGAGCATATAAGCACATGATCTGTATTCAGTATCAGAGGATGAGAAAACTTAGCAATGCCTTATTGTCCTCGCCAGAGATAACCTCCGGCACTGGCTGAACTTCACTGGAGAGCTAAAGTGAAATTATAATCTTCAGACATATAAGTTTATTTTTTTCCTGTCATAGAAAAGCAGAAGATAAAATTTTAATTAAATGTGTTATCTGTCTTGCTTTGAAATTTTAACAGTTTTCCAAAGAAAATGCGTAATTCATCATCAGAAACTACAGATCATTCCGTCAGTACTAATGTGAGCCCTGAAAAATGGATCATTGGGAGCAATTCAGTCAACTCTGTGAGTTAATAACTTGTGATGATGTCTGTATTAGAAAGGTCTGGAGAATCTCACCAGAGCTTCAGCTTTTGTTTGGTCAGATCCCACGAAGTGTATCAGGTCTTCAATGTACATGTGTCATTGCGTTCAGAAAGCTATTCAGACATTTGATGTGGCTCAGACACACTTCTTCATCTCTCTTCTTGAGGGATATGAAATAAGAATCCACGACCCACACATGATCATTTTCTCCGTACATCTGCTTTTTGGCATAGGCAGAGGATGGCTGCTCGGAGTCCTTGAGTTTGGAATATGCACTTTGGTAATATCTTAATGAGCTCTTTAGATTACTTTTTGTATTGTCTCTTGACAGTGGTGATTTTCTGTCCTTCCTCCTCTTCTTCCTCTCCCTTCCCTGTCCTTCTCCTCCTTGTTCTCCTCCTCCTCCTTTGGGTATGTTTGTTGGGTAGTAGAGTCTGAAGTAAAGAGTATTTATCCCTAGAACTGTTTGTTGCACATTTCTGCAAGGCCTTTAATTTATATGCCAGGAAGTTTGAGTCCAGCGAGTCAGTAACTCAGTTGGGTTTGGGGTTTGCTGTTGCCATGGTTACCTCCAGTCATCCCTAGCTGCACATTCCTCCAGTGCTACTGATGCTTAGAGAGGGGCTTGATGGCTGGAGAGCTCTTCCTAGACATTTCTACATCAGAGGAGGCCGATATTTCTGTGTCTGTGCCTCTTCTAGTGGTCGCTGGCCTTCTGCCACTTGTGTTCTCTTATTTGCTCGCCTGGAAGCAGGAAGGCGTGACATCCTCTCTCCCTCCCTCCCCACCTCTCTCTCTCTCTCTCTCTCTCTCTCTCGCTCTCTTTCTCTCTCTTTCTCTGTCATGTCTTCTTTGCAGCCTGGAACATGCATGCAGCATCTTGATCTCAGCTTATAGAAGGATCAGAAGAACATGACGCTCTGGTGCTTGGGTGATTTCCTTTGCCCTCCTCCCCATCTCCTAATTGCAATGGCTATATTATTATTACTGTTGTTTATG